ATAATATATTTAGATTGAAAAACTACAATAAAAAATAAATATTGTAGTTTTTCAATCTCCCTCCTTTTATTGCTATGTATTTACTGATGATTATTTAATGGTGTGTGGAGGCTGCTGATCACAATGTCATTGTTTAAAATGATCAGATTTTTTTTTTTGCATGTCCTTGTATCTAGAAGAGAACATATTCAAGATGACAATCAGACAATAAACCAGATTTTGACTGGACAGGGTAACAAATGACATCATCTCTGGGTCCAGTGATCGGTTTTCCTGACCGATCATATCCATGTGGGTCACTATTGCTCTCTTCAGATTGGGTCAGGGGTGTAATCACATCCAATATGGGGGTTGATATGCTGCCTATGGACATCTTTATGTACTCTGGCTGTAATGTTATAGATTATTTAAATCCACTATACTATACCCCTAAAAAGGGAAGAGTAAAGTCATATATATCTCCTCAAAGTTGCTAATTATTTCACACATATTAAACAAATATGTAACTTTATGCCAATCGCCGCTTCTGATTACATACAATACAATGTAACCTAAGACAACCAGATATCAGACAATGTTTCTACCACCAGCCAGATGAGTGAAAACATTTCCTTTTATCTATAAACAACAATGATTAAAAAAAAAAAAGCAATCATGATACCATGACCCATCTCAGCTTTATATATAATATTGGGTATTTTGTGTTTAAACAAAAGGAAATGTTTTAACTTAAGAACCCGGCTGGTGGTAGAAACATTGTCTCAGAAGTGTATCCTTTCTGAAGCAGCGATCTTCATAAACGGAACATGTGTGAATAATATTATCGATCACTCAACCTAAATCCATATTTCAGTGCACATGGGATGCCCAGCACTCGGATATAACACGGATCAGCCGATCTGTCACAGGACTCACCTCCGCCAAGCTGCTCCCCGGATGGCCCTCTGTGTGAGCTCCGCTCTGATGCGGCTTCACGACACATTTTACCCATCAAACATGTTTAAATTTGCCGGCTTGGCTTATCCACCAATCAGCAGCGGGACCTTTAAAAAAGCAACCAATCAGCGCATCCCGCACAACCGTTGGTAGCCAGGCTTGTTTTGGTCACGTGATCATACTTGTAGCAGTTGCCGCCATCTTGATTTAGGGCAGTTCCAACCCTTCGCTTCGTTTCAGGATTAGTGACGATTTCGGGATTGCTGTCTGCCAGGTCTGCAGGGATAAAAAGATGATATAGATACATACAGACATTTTTTTATGTACTCTTGGACTAATATTTTACATCCATTTATAAAGTCTATCATACGGCATTTTTTAGTTAAGCCCTCACTGTATATTCCTAAAAATTATTTTTTTTGCGCAAACTTTATTAAACGTAAAGTAATATAATTTTTCATAAGTGTATCATTCTTTAAAACTACCATGGTAACGGCAGACAATAAATCAGGCACATAGCAGGACAGCCCTGACAACATCACGTTGTAGGGTCCTGCGAGCAGCAAGTTTTCAGTCAGGCACCTCTAAGGGCACACGGCGGGGTCCTGGCAGTCTCCTTGGTAACGGGACGCACTGTAGGTCCCGGAGGAGGAGGAAGATGGCAGCGGCTGCTGCAGCGACGGGAGCCAAAGTGAAAACCGTGAAAGATGAGGTGGCACAGAACGCCATCCACCGGGAGACCATCCGAAAAGAGAACCGCTGCCAGAGGCTGGTCACCGAGTTCACCATCAACCCCTTCCACAAGAGTAAACTATCAACACTTCTGTAACCATGGCAACCAGAGCTGATGATGTGGGGGGGGGACATACACCGCTAGCGGAGTGGGGAGAAGTTAGAACCGAGCACAATGCTGACTGTGTCATGACAACCCTTCCCCATTATTGTCCTGGGGGTCTGGAGTGCAGCTTTAAGCTGAGAGCCGGTTCTCATGTTCATTTTCTTTCCTCTCCGTAGTTCACGCCGTCACCGGGAAGCCGATGGCAAGACACGACAATCAGTACGAGGTCGCTGACGGTAAGATCTCCGCCGGATCCGTCGCTCGGACTTTGTCCACTTCATCCGCTTACATCCCGTATACAATCTCCCCGTCACCCGTTCCGACGTCCTTGTGTGAGCTCCCCGACAACCCTGACTTCTGGGGATCAGAGCCCGCCTGTGTGTGTGGGGGCGGGGGGGCCCTACAAGGGATACAGGGACACATGGGGGGCCCCTACAAGGGATGCAGGGACACATGGGGGCCCCGACAAGGGATACAGGATCACATGGGGGGCCCCGACAAGGGATACAGGAACACATGGGGGGCCCAGACAAGGGATACAGGGACACATGGGGGGCCCCGACGAGGGATACAGGGACACATAGGGGGGCCCGACGAGGGATATAGGGACACATAGGGGGGCCCGACGAGGGATATAGGGACACATAGGGGGGCCCGACGAGGGATATAGGGACACATAGGGGGGCCCGACGAGGGATATAGGGACACATAGGGGGGCCCGACGAGGGATATAGGGACACATAGGGGGGCCCGACGAGGGATATAGGGACACATAGGGGGGCCCGACGAGGGATATAGGGACACATAGGGGGGCCCGACGAGGGATATAGGGACACATAGGGGGGCCCGACGAGGGATATAGGGACACATAGGGGGGCCCGACGAGGGATATAGGGACACATAGGGGGGCCCGACGAGGGATATAGGGACACATAGGGGGGCCCGACGAGGGATATAGGGACACATAGGGGGGCCCGACGAGGGATATAGGGACACATAGGGGGGCCCGACGAGGGATATAGGGACACATAGGGGGGCCCGACGAGGGATATAGGGACACATAGGGGGGCCCGACGAGGGATATAGGGACACATAGGGGGGCCCGACGAGGGATATAGGGACACATAGGGGGGCCCGACGAGGGATATAGGGACACATAGGGGGGCCCGACGAGGGATATAGGGACACATAGGGGGGCCCGACGAGGGATATAGGGACACATAGGGGGGCCCGACGAGGGATATAGGGACACATAGGGGGGCCCGACGAGGGATATAGGGACACATAGGGGGGCCCGACGAGGGATATAGGGACACATAGGGGGGCCCGACGAGGGATATAGGGACACATAGGGGGGCCCGACGAGGGATATAGGGACACATAGGGGGGCCCGACGAGGGATATAGGGACACATAGGGGGGCCCGACGAGGGATATAGGGACACATAGGGGGGCCCGACGAGGGATATAGGGACACATAGGGGGGCCCGACGAGGGATATAGGGACACATAGGGGGGCCCGACGAGGGATATAGGGACACATAGGGGGGCCCGACGAGGGATATAGGGACACATAGGGGGGCCCGACGAGGGATATAGGGACACATAGGGGGGCCCGACGAGGGATATAGGGACACATAGGGGGGCCCGACGAGGGATATAGGGACACATAGGGGGGCCCGACGAGGGATATAGGGACACATAGGGGGGCCCGACGAGGGATATAGGGACACATAGGGGGGCCCGACGAGGGATATAGGGACACATAGGGGGGCCCGACGAGGGATATAGGGACACATAGGGGGGCCCGACGAGGGATATAGGGACACATAGGGGGGCCCGACGAGGGATATAGGGACACATAGGGGGGCCCGACGAGGGATATAGGGACACATAGGGGGGCCCGACGAGGGATATAGGGACACATAGGGGGGCCCGACGAGGGATATAGGGACACATAGGGGGGCCCGACGAGGGATATAGGGACACATAGGGGGGCCCGACGAGGGATATAGGGACACATAGGGGGGCCCGACGAGGGATATAGGGACACATAGGGGGGCCCGACGAGGGATATAGGGACACATAGGGGGGCCCGACGAGGGATATAGGGACACATAGGGGGGCCCGACGAGGGATATAGGGACACATAGGGGGGCCCGACGAGGGATATAGGGACACATAGGGGGGCCCGACGAGGGATATAGGGACACATAGGGGGGCCCGACGAGGGATATAGGGACACATAGGGGGGCCCGACGAGGGATATAGGGACACATAGGGGGGCCCGACGAGGGATATAGGGACACATAGGGGGGCCCGACGAGGGATATAGGGACACATAGGGGGGCCCGACGAGGGATATAGGGACACATAGGGGGGCCCGACGAGGGATATAGGGACACATAGGGGGGCCCGACGAGGGATATAGGGACACATAGGGGGGCCCGACGAGGGATACAGGGACACATAGGGGGGCCCGACAAGGGATACAGGGACACATGGGGGGCCCCGGTGAGGGAGATGGATTGACTACATAGACTAATAGAAGGAAATGGTTTTTTTTACTCGCACAGAAAACTTCCTGAAGATATTTCATCACACGGCTCTGGAACCGACCAAGAAATACACGGAACCTCAGACCACCAGCCAAGAGATCGGATGGATCACACAGCCTCTGGTAGGGACTTTATACTCCCGGGAAGGGGGAGGAGCTCAATAGGGGAACATCAGGAAAAGAAATATACAACGCAAATGAATCCAAATCATTAAAGGGGAACGCCGGGGAGATACCAGACACATCAATGCAGAGCTGTGATAATACATCACACACACTACATTGCCAAAGTATTGGGACGCCTTTACACGCACATGAACTCCCAGTCTTAGTCTGTAGGGTTCAGTGTTGGGTTGGCTCCGCCCTTTGCCGCTATAACAGCTCTGCCTCTTCTGGGAAGGCGTCCACAAGGTTTAGGAGTGTGTCTATGGGAATGTTGGACCATTTGTGAGGATTCTAGTGGCGGCGTGCTTTACACCACGGCATCCCACGCTTTGCATTGCACCCGGTGATGTGCGGCTTGGATGCAGCTGCTCGGCCATGGAAACCCATTCCATGGAGCTCTCTACGCACTGTTGTTGTGCCAATCTGAAGGCCACATGGAGTTCGGAGGTCTGTAGCTATTGACTCTGCAGACAGTTGGTGACTTCTGCGCACTTCAGCATGCGCTGACCCCGCTCTGTCATGTGACGTGGCCGACCACTTCCTGGCTGAGTTGCTGTTGTTCCCAGTTGCTTCCACTTTGTTATAATCCCAGTAACAGGTGACCGCGGAATATTTAGTAGCCAGGAAATGTCACGGAACACCTGAATCCAATGATTTGGAGGGGGAGGGGCCCAATACTTTTGGCAATATAGTGTATGTACACACACCAGAATGTGACCTGGTATCAGCCTCTTGTAGTCTCTACAGCAGGGCTCAGACCAGGAGAGGAAGAAGCAGCAGTGTTCATGTGCTGACAGGAGAGAGCAGAGTGACAGTGAGATGAGCTCAGCCTGCTGCTTTCTCCTTTTACCGAGCAATCACAGGCTGTGGGGGGGACAATACCTGTAAGTGTTATGGGACAGAAGAGAAAAAGCAGGTCTCCTGTCCTGCCAGACAGGGTTGTGCAGTGTAAATCTCAGGACCGGATGGACAAATACAAATCCTTTGGCAGGTAATACAGCAGCTTTATACGTCATACATACACTGAGTGGCCGGATTATTATATACACTGAGTGGCCGGATTATTATATACACTGAGTGGCCGGATTATTATATACACTGAGTGGCCGGATTATTATATACACTGAGTGGCCGGATTATTATATACACTGAGTGGCCGGATTATTATATACACTGAGTGGCCGGATTATTATATACACTGAGTGGCCGGATTATTATATACACTGAGTGGCCGGATTATTATATACACTGAGTGGCCGGATTATTATATACACTGAGTGGCCGGATTATTA